TGATTATACTTTATTTCTGTTTACCATTTTTATAATTACTTCTGTATTGCTGTATATTGTCTGCTATGTAGCATAAGGGAGTTACAACTTAATTTCACTTTGCAACCTATTGACAAATAAATCTACTTTCTACCCTTCTTATGGCGATGTTGATAAGGACAAAAAGGTCAATTTTATGAGTTCATACTGTCATTCCTAAAGCATGTTATAGTCCTATTTATCCATCCATTCATCGTCAACCGCTTATCCTGCGCACAGGGTCGCGTGGGGCTGGAGCCAATCCCAGCTGACATCGGGCGAAAGGCGGGGTACAACCTGGACAGGTCGGCAGTCTATCGCAGGGGTCGTATTTATATATATTTTTATAAATTATAAATTACATTTTTCCTGTATGCTGGTGTTTTGGCTAGGACAGGGTTCAGCTAGAGTGCCAGTCTAGCAGGGCATGGATGAGCATATGGGACAGTAATTAAAATGTATGAAAGTGCATCAGGATGGGGAATAAAAGGAAGATCAAAGTGGTGGCTGGCGAATGAATGAATTATCTGTGTGGTATTTTTTGCTGCACAGACATACTCCTAATGAGCATGTGTAGAATACTGATATTAAATAATCATCTTCAGTGCATGGTTTGAGTGAGCTGCCAAAGTCCTGAATGCAGCAACAGCAGCAGCAGCAAAGTATTTCACTGAATTGGACAGAAGCTGGGCTGTCGTACTGTTTTACAAGACCAACCTTGACAGTAAAGAGATGAGAGGCTCTGAACAGACAGCTGTATCAAAACAGAGATGAAGCCGTTTTCTGCCCCAGTTCTTCTGCTTCCCAGCCACACTGATTCTGCTTGTAGACAAAGAATTCAATATTGGATGAGCTCACAGGCTCAGACCAGAGCTGGAATCTGAGGTGTTTCATGCTACACTGCACTCTTATGATTTGACCATTATGGAAATATGTAAATAACCCTCCACAGGCCGTGCAGCTCTGGGACTAGAGACCTCTAATTGGGAGCATGACAGAGATGTCAGAATACTTGGTGAATTGTTATAGTGCAGAAAGAAAGATAATGGCATTTTTCAAAATCTCACGTTTTGTTTGGCAGAGTCATCCTGATGCACTTTGAGCTTCATTGTTTATTGAACAGCTAAAGTTTATCCACATGCCAAACGAGGAAGAGAGGTTGGACAAGTAAAGGTTGCTCTATGTACAAACAAAAGAAACCCAAAAAATCCAATAGTAATAATTGCCAGAAGCACACTGATATGTCTGAATCATGCAGAGGCTGGGGTCGGGATCTGGTCAGGTATCTGTTGGTGGATGAAGACCCTGAGGGGACAGAGCATGTGTGAGTCATATGATCCAGGCTTTTGGCCTTCACACAGACAGCCACAGACAGACCAAAGCGGATTGGAAACAAAGGCTCACAGTGTATTATTTCTGCCGAGGCATGAGCATGAGGAATTCTCCATTAATCTGTTTCATCTTGTTTTATGAAGCTGTTACACCAAACTGAGTGCGAGATGTGTCAGTTGAGTTGTTTCTCAGAGTCCCCCCTCTAGGAGCCCCGTGCCCGTTCTCACGGTATCAGTGCTGCTGCAGAGGCATAAGTGTACTTGACTAACACAGCGTGTATATACAGTGGAATACATATACAGTGTATACTACAGCAGCTGAGCAAGGGGAAGCAGACGCAGTTAAAACCAGGAGACAAATGTTTGATTCCACCCAAAGTGTGGTACAAAACATTAACTTGGACGGCTTCTAATCAGTGTTTGAAACATTTTAATGTCTGCTATAACACGACACATAATTGATCTTAACAAGACTAAAGATCTAAGAGTCTACAGCATCTTTACTCCACTGCTACTTGTGCACTGTGGTGCTTTGAGCTAAATACTAACATCAGGGCATTCTGATGCAAAGCAAGTATAATATTCACCATCTACAGCGTGTTAGCATGCTAGCATTTACTAATTAGCATTTAGCACAAAGTGCAGCTGAGGCTGATGGGAATGGTATTAGTATCTGGACATAAACAAAGGTATTAGACAAATAAGAATTTTGACCTGATGATAGCGCTTGATGAAAAGTCCAAGGATCACCAAAGTTATCACAGTTCATCCTGAGGGGGGAGTAAATATCTGAATCAAATTTCATGGCAATCCATTCAATGGTTGCTGAAATTTTTCACTCAAAAGCACAAATGCAAATCTGCTGGTGGTGCTAGAGTAAAAGTCAGAGGTTCAATAAAGTTATAAGTAATCCTCTGGGGACCATGCATGGCTGTACAAAGTGTCGTGTCATCCATCAGATATTTGTGGAGATATTCTGACATCACCATCCCTAGAGCCACACAGCTAGCATTGTTAAAAACACACCATTTTAGCAAAAACATTTTAGATAAGCAGGACTTTTCTCTGCTTTGCACGAGCATCATCCTCCTCACAGTGATTATGAATGCTGCCGAGGGCAAGGACTTCTTTTAGAATACACACTTGAGCACACTATGCAAACACACACACACAAACACACAGACGTACTTTGCATATTGTGTAAGAAGACATTAAACTAAAAGGGCTTTTGTGATGCTGGAAAAACAAGAGAGATGCTCTACCCACAACCATGAAGCCCAGAAAATGTTTGACTTTAATCTTCTGCAGTTCCATGCAATCCCGCCTAATGAAGCAGACCCAAATGGGAACCCACTGGGGATAAGGAGAGACTGCAGCACATTTGCACGTTCATTTCAGCTGGAAATCATATTAGTGTTGTAGGCTGCCGAAGCCTGAAGTTGAAATGAACCATGGAGATGATTTAAAGGAGCAAGGGCTTTAGAAAAGAAGGGCTGTGATGGTGAATCGGGAGGGTGGAGGCTGAATATGACCAAGAGGGAAGAGATGGAGTTCATATTCAGTGGCTGAAACAAGAGATGAAGATTACTGTACAGAGCGGGATTAGGTGAGAAAAAAAAAGCAGAGGTGGCGGACAATCTGGTAGGACAGATGAGCAGGAGGAGAGTTGGGGGTTATGTACTTGGCATTGGTGCAGGAAATAAATTGGTATGTTGTAGGCTGAGGCGGAGAGGTCATGTGGGGTTCAGAAGTGACAGGGCTCCTGAATATCCTTCTCCTCAGGCAGGAGACTGAACATCAAAGACATAAGGCTATGCTGTGGTGTCTGCAGCATAAGATGATTTAAAGCTGCATTTTGTTGAAAAATTATAATAAAATAAATGTTTCTATTATGTTTGAGCTGTTCACACTTGTGTGGGATGCTACACTGCAGAAGTATCCACCTCTAATGTCATAAAATATTTCTTAAAACAATGCAAAAAAGTCTTTACAAGTGGACCAATAATAGAGAGATGACAGAAAATAAGGGGAGAGGGGGAGAAGGGTTGAAATGGAACAAAGGTCCAGAGGTAGATTTAAACCAGGGACCAGTCCCTGGTGCGTAGGCCACTGGGAAACACACAATTTTCCTAATACAAATAGAGTGATTTGAATTATTCTGACATTTAGCAAGATATTTGGTCTTGTTTTTAGGAAAACAAACATTCCTAAAACAAGAGAAACTGCACTGAAAAGGTTTTCTTTTATCTTTACTTTCTTTTTTTAAGAATGTAGCCAATGTATTTATGTATATATAAATGTATCATGACTGGCCTGTCTATCACACCTGCAGGATGTCAGTATGCTCAGATAACTCTGTATGGACAACACAAAATCAACACATTACTCTATAGGTATTTCAGCCATTCATTCAGCTCCACTTTCATAGATGAATCAGGCAGGTGGCAGACTATTGTCTTTAGAATAGAAGACCCCATATTTTGTTTCCAGGCTGGTTGAGTGGACAGGAGGCAGTGGGCGGGAATCTCTCAAGCTATGAGTTCAAAGCAAAATTAAGCAAATAAGGAATTCACCTGTAACCAGCTGCATGAACCCGGGTACTACTTGTTGTGAGGAGACTAACCAGTGAAACAACAGTGCCTTTCAGTAACCTTTTAGGCAGAATTTAAACCCTACAGTCAGTTTCATAATTTACAATATATGGTCTCACAGTAATCTAGGATAATGGTTCCAATCTGCGGTATGGACTCCACAAGGGATCTCAAGATAAATCTGAGGGAGTTACTTTCTAAGTAAATGTAGCTTTTTTTTCTGGTGAAATAGCCTACTGATACTTTCCCCCTACAGGGGTTTAAACATCCTTTAAATGAAACCATCTGAAAATAATAAAGTCAATCTGTGGTAAAACTGCTCTATGCATATGTGCAACCACTGGTCTAAGACATGAATGTAAAAGCCTTAGATGGAATAATAATTTATGTTGTAAATCATGCTAAAGAATAACACAACTTCCACCCAGAACAAGCAACCAGCCCATGAGGCATTTAAACAACCATGTTGATATTTTCCCCAGAATAACTGCAAATGAAAACAATACTTGGAAACCAGTAACTGTAAAGGTATTTCAAAAGAATTTTACTTTACATTTGCCTGATTGGTGGCCCCTGTGGTGTCCCAAAGGAGCCACTTGGCATAGGCTATGCCTCAGCCAATTCTTTTAAAAGATGGTTACATTGAAAAACCATTGTTCTCTCCTGTTAAGCTAAACTTTTTAATTTTGTTTTACCTTTTGGCTCCATCTTAGGTCCACCTCTGTTGAATATTTATTTAACATTATATCAAATGGTACTCATCCTGATTTATTCTATCTACAAAACTGCAAATATTAGCTTCATATTTGAAATAAAGAAATATATCAGAATATGTAAAACCAATATGCACCGGTAAAGAATAACTCTACTTTATTATCAATAGCTTACAATTAATACATAAACATCCCCTGGAGAAACTGCTTCATCGGTCGTTGCAGCACCCCCTTGCGGACCCCTATGCCTTTCCTTCTCCGGTCCTAAACCTTTTTGTTGTGGATCAGTAGTCGAGCCCCTGCTGGAGCAGAATGTCAGCCCGCCACGCAGAGCAGCAGACCGGACTGTGCCGGTGAGAGCACCAAACACACTCACCCTGGGCAGCAGCGGCGGATCATCAGCTGCGGGTGTACCGAGCTGCTGTGGACTTGGGTTTGGAAACAGGACTAGAGCGTAACTACAAAAAGAAAAGAAGAGTAGCTTTTTTAAAAGCCTGGTTGCTGTTTGAAAAAAAAGTTGTGTTCGCAAAGACAAGGCGACCAGATACTACGAAATAGGCTATTGCTGCACGGGCTGCTTGTAAAGAAGATCTTGCTTAAGGTGAGTAGACTACGCAGCGTGCAACAGTGATTTAGTCTGGGAAAGTCTGTTTTTTTTGTGTGTTTTTTTTACAGGAGTAAAGTTATTGGCTTTGCTGTAAAGCTATCCCGTTATAGAAGAGAATGAGAGGAACTCATTTCATGATGTTGGCTAATTCGTGCAAACCTGTCCATGAACAAGCGTGGTTTATAGCCAAAAATGCGGGTTGATGATACAAAGTTATGGAGCTGATGGTGCTGCCCTTAAGAGCATGCATGACTTAGTCTGCATGATAAATTGGTTGCTGATAGTTTGACTTGACTGAGTGATTAAATCACTTGAGCAGTAATCTGTAGTTGATCCAGTTGAATACAGAGACTTAGTTTCCCACTGGTTTGCCAATTTATTGCACTGAATTCAGCTGTTTTTCCCTCAAGAACTGGTGTGTGTGTGTGTGTGTGTGTGTGTGAGGGAGGGAGAGAGAGAAAGAAAGAGGGAGAAGGGGTATGAGGGAGAGACACTGGAGAATAAGCATTGCTCTGTTGTCTCCATCCAGCTGTTTCAGTGAATGGGGTTTTGGCATGCCCCTTGCAACTCACACACACACACTTGCAACTGCTTTTGCATACTACTTATCTTGTCTTTTCTCTCTTGATATCTGCGGCTGAGAGGATGAAGGAAACATGATGAAAAGGAAAGGTCACACAAAGAGAGAGAGACCTTAGTGTCAATTGTTTTATGCTCTCAGGGCCTACTTTTATATATGGATTAGTTAGTAGTTGAACTGGAAACGCCCAAGATCTTACTGGACAATAAATAATCCCCTGCAGGAGCATATATAAACGCTGAAGGAGCAGCAGCATGCCTCCTTCTCATCTGTGGTGAACACCCTCCCTGTAGCTGATTGATGGTGTGGACGTCATGTTGTCACAGTAATAAGACTTTAGCTGAATGCAAAGATTAAGACAACCACACATGGATGCATGCACGCTGCAAACGTGGATTCGTATATGTTCTGCACACACATGCTCCCTCCTCTCCTGCGCGGATGTTAACTTAGTGCACAGGCATCACGCCACCTCACTTGGAGACCCTATATCATCCTGCCCTGTCACCACAGCACATACAGAGAGGGAGAGAGAGAAGGGGGGGGGGGGGGTATGGTGGTGGGAGGTGATAACCAAGCTGTCAGCTGATCAGGATTGGAGCTGCTAAGAAGGTGGACGGAGAGCAGGTAGGGGGAGGAGGGTGTAAAGCTGAGGGATCATTTTTATCACATGGCAGCCGAGCGAGAACATGACCAAAGTCATGGTCAATGTGTTTTGATGAGTCTTTTTTTTTTGCTCCTGCTTTGCATTTTCTGTCGAATAAACCAACTTCTCATCAACTCAGCTCATGTCTAACATTGAGTTAACAAATATGTGTGAGTCGAAACAAGAACACAGCCAGAGGCACAGTCACAGCTGATGCACATCTGCCAGTACTTGCTCCGAAGACGCTGCAACGTTAAGGACATGCCTACTGTTCAAAATGTCGCGGCATCTTTTGCAGCATAATATGCTCATTAGATAATCTCAGCTGAAAATAGCACAAAAATGCGCACACAGGGGCACATCTGTGCACTGGGGAGCACTCTTGCATAACAAAGGAAAATCCCACATTAAACTGATATAGATCTATATGTATATAAAGAGAGAGAGAGAGAAATCAAATCCACACATGTGATGCTCAATTAGCAAAATGCCTCTTAAGCCATCTGGGATTGAAATGATGACGGGCTGCCACTTCATTTCGCTGCAGCGACAGTGTTGATGTTGAGTGGTGGATATAATTAAAAGCATGCAAGTAGCATTTCGGTATTTAATTCATTGTCACCCATCATGCTGTAACTTGGGGTCTATCTAAAAGCCTTACACAACAGAAACACTTCACACTGGTCTTATTAAAGGCCACGTAATACTGAGTGTTCATGTGAACAGTCCTGTGTTCTTTGAGGGAAAAGAAGCTCAAGGAGATATGTTTTCTCAGTTTTGCTTTCTCCGTAACCCATTTCATGTCTAAAGTTACATGTCAGACAAGCAGGTCTGTTTGATGCTATGTTACAGTTCAGTGTCACCTGTGTAGTTTCAGTTTTGTTTCTAGATACAGTTTGTGGGAGTAATGTTGGTTCTGACATCCAGCTTTCCTTCGGATTCCCCTCAGCTGTAATGTGTCTAACAGCGGGTGCATCATTGAGATTCCGTCAGAGTTTCTCATTGTCAGCCCATTAAAACGGGACAAGAGCAAGAGCACAGCAGGGGAGAGACAATCTGTCCATCAGACTCTCTCACTCACACACACACACACACACACACACACACACACACACACACACACACACACACACACACACACAATGACTAACCCTGTATGTGGGACCATAATTAGTGGCTGCCTGGGCTTGCGGTGACCTTTCTTTTCCTGCTTTTAAAGGCCCGATAAGTCATTGACCGAGATATTATACAACAGATTAATTATTTGCTACTGACAAGTTTCAAATATACAGTATTCTGTAGCTGTAACTTTTTACATGAAGCACACACACACACCCACACACACACACACGTGAGTCACTTGTAGATGAAATCCATTGACTTGCATTGCAGAGATTTTACTGTGGCCACAAATAAACAAAGCAACATTCCTCTTGTAGAAAACACTGACAGATTGGAGGAGGAGATGGTTCCTCTTACATCAGCTATTGAATATTTCCAAATAAATACCCTCTTAGCTTTAAAATGCTTCCAGAATTCAGCATTTAGCATTTCTCGTGTAACATTGATGTCCGCGCTCGTAAAGGAGAGAGAAACTGTTAACGTAAACATATTCCTTCTAAACTGCGAAGCATAAGCATTATTTTGTTTTGTGGACCTGAATGGAACTTGATTGCCTAAATACTTACTCAGGCTTCATACAGAGCCATTTATCTCATTGCTGTGTACGTTTCAGTTACCAGAGGAAATTATTTATTACACCACATGATGATTTTTAATTTAATTTCCAACATTGGGTTGTTTTACTCAGTGTTAAATTACAGCCTGTTATGAAACAGCATCAAGAAATATGTCTTAATTTTTGTTAGTTCCACTTTCTGACTTTCCTTGATAGTTTACACAAACACAAACAACGGCTTCATTAACTGTTTTGACTGTGAAATTATAGATTTTAGATCAATTTAAGAGGCCTAACTGCTGAAAACATGTAATATAACTTAATTTCCTCATTAAATATTTAAGCACATCTGAGGAATTTTTTCCAGAGATAACACGTTTAGATCGAGTTATTGATAGGTCAACTCATAGTGAAATCAGTGAATTCTTAAGCTGATGATACACGGGGCAACTTTTTGAGCAATGTTGCTGGGCAATCTTGCTAGTGGAAAGACCGACTATGTTTTGAACAGATAGCGACGGATGCGGGGCGGGTGGCGGAGTGGTGGGGGAAGGGGATTACGGTAGTAATCTTTACTCATTACCATTGACGGCAACATTGCCCTGCACGATTGCGCTAAAAGTTGCTCTGTGTATCATCAGCTTTACAGTAATGTTGCACTGGGAAATGTAGTCAGTGGGCAAAACCCCCAACAAGTGACATGTGGTGATTGTTTCCTGCAAACACATGGATGCACAAACTGTCCATTGCAAGAATGAACACAGCCTTAAACGAGATAGAACGAGGACTTTTTGCATTTCCGACCCTGTATAACATGAAAGACAGCTGAGCTGTTTCAGCTTTACAAGGCGCTTTGTTAATCTCACAAATCTCTCAAAATGAATGAAAGAAGTGTTTACCACTCTGACATTTTAAATCCAGGTTATTCAGACCCTAACATTATGCAGACTGTCCAATTACTAATAGAAAGACATTTCATTAGGTGAGTGATTGCAGTGAGGCCATCACTTGTGTACTGACCAGGTTTGTGCAGTGCACTTAATCTCAAATACAGTCATCTCTGCCATGAATAGAAAAAAGGAAGGAGGACCGAGAAGGCTTTTTTGAGAGAGTTTAATGCTAATTAGTAAATGTTTTATGCTAACACGCTAAACTAAGATAGTGAACCTCTAAACGTTAGCATTTAGCTCAAAGCACTGCTGGGCCTTAGCATGTCTTATCTATAACTTAAACTATCTAACTGAAGAGGAATATGGAGCTACAGTATGGGACCTCACCCAGACATCTGCCTATTCATCATCCCCAAGGTGTGGCTGTACTGACTTGGGTGGACTTCTTCTGTCATCGTCAGGCTGTCCTCAGTCTCAGCCTGTCATTAGCATGTCATTGGCAGAAAACACCCAAATGCAGCCATAAAATACCCCATGAACTCGCACATTGCTGGTCTGTTATAATGCTTTTGCAGAGCCTTTTCCAACCTGAAAGGAGACTCAAAATGTCTTTTTTTGTTGTTGTTGTTTCTTTTTGCATAAGTAGATTGCAAATCAATTAAATTATTGTTGGAATCTGATAGCTGAAATGGCAGGCACAGATGGGCTCTGAAAGCCATTACAGTCTGTAAGAAGAGACAGAATCAATGCAAAGTGGAATAAGTATAATGGACATTAGTATGCAGAGCTCTGGCATAGATCACATAGAACCAGGAGTGTTGAAGTCTGCTAACTGCTCCAGTTGGAGCTATCTAGTTTCAGGAGCAGGACCACCTTAATCATGCCACATCCGGCTTTCCTGTAAATACCCACCTAACCCTGCACCCCTCCTTCCCTACTCATCTCTCCTGTGTCTCTTCTGTCTCCCCCTTCCTCTCCTTCCTCGTCTCTGTTGAGTCCTGAGGGGGGTCTGTTGTTCCCGGGTTCTACTGCAGATTCCCCTCTGAATTTTCCCCACAGTGCAGCAGCAAACCAAACAAATACAAGCGAGTTCCGGCCTGGCACACAATATTTTTGGTTTTGTTAATAAATAGTTTAAACGCATCTTGTTGATGGCGTTGTCCTTGCTAGTGAAACATCCATTAGAAGGCCGATCAAACT